GGTCCGCTTGGAACAAACAGCACTGCTGAGTCAGGGCACATTCAGGGCACGGCCTCAGCTACTCCACGCACAGTCAGGGGCGTCCGGTGATAGCGGGGGGATGCGAACCGGGCACGGAGCGGGCTGGGGCGCTGCGCACAGCCGAGATGTCAGGAGAGGGGCTACTCAGTTTACGTACTGGCACGCAGTTTGCGTATGCAGCCACGCAGTGTCCGTAGGGCTGCAGCTGGAACGTGGAGCGAGATAACGATGCTCCAGGGGGGAGAGCGGGGCAGCCCTGTGGGAAGGCTGGGAGCGGAGCGAGATTACGAATCCTCTGAGGTAGAACAGGGTAGCGCGGCAGAAGGGTTGATAGCGGACCGCTCAGTCACTTACGTAGCCGTGAAAAAGTCTCAGCAGCAGCAAGAAAGTTCTCAGTAGTAGCGAAAGGCAGCTCAGCGGCGTGCGATCTCTCGGGCTGAGCAGCAGTGAAAACAAAACGGGGGAATCAGCGGCCGTCTGATCCCTCTGGGTAGCAGTTTCTCGAGGTCCCGCCCGAGCGATTCTTCGTTCACTTCTTGTCGAGTTCTCTTCTATCTTCCTTCGCAATCACGTCGGGGTCACCATATGTCGTGGTTGAGGCGGGGAGGCGACATGGGTTTCAGGATACCAGCAGCTTTTTTATTGCAACAGTACAGCTACCTTTATACAGTTCTGGGGTGACACATGTATACACAGCATTGGTTTACCACTTCATAACAACTCATGATTGGACATACAGCCACATGTCCTAACACAATAGGCTAACATTCCTCACAGGAAACCCACTGTGTCACAGTCCCCACTGTCCGTGGTTAACCCTCTGCCAGGTGTAAGAAGTTCCATCTTCAGGATTTCAGTATACTGAGAGCCCAGAACCAGCTGGGCTCCCCAACACTCCTTCAAAAGTGTTCTAATATTGCTTCACAACAGCAGCACTTGTTTTTGAACTCTTGTTCTGCTGCTTCTTTGGGAATGAACAAGTCCTGGAAACTTTGGTTCCCTGCAGATGCCTTACCTTTCTCCCGGTGATGCTGCTCTGCACTGGAGTGCTGCTCTTGATGCACGTCACTCTATCAGTCTCAGACAAGTGTGACATTGCAAAAATTTTCGGTGGTTTTTTTAATGTAATTTTTTGTCAGTTTTGTCAGTGGAGCACAGTCAAGAGCTGCTTCTCACCGTCAGTGGGAGTCAAGTGGAATGACCTTGTATGAAATAGAAATCATTTCCCTCCCGTTGCTACTCACAAATTAACCTCCCCTTTGGGGATTTAATTTTTCAGTTCCCTTTCCCCGAAGCGTGTATCCTTGGATGATTCCCCTGGTCCTGATCTCGGTTGCTGTGTTCGCTCTACTTACTCTCACAGTTTATCTGTGTAAAATTAAAGGTACCATCTGGGGCTTGGGAACTGGGGAAGGAGCTGGGCAGCCATTCTACTCAGCCTCCTCTAATCCTGATGGATGAGGGAGATGAGAAACACTGGGATGGACTCAGAGACTTGGCCTGGTGTCTCAGGCACCTGTTTGGTGCCAAGAAACTTAAAAACCCAGGGCCTTAACTGCTGTCAAGGAAAGAAAGCTTTCTTCCCCAACAAGAAGGCAAGGAAGCAAGTTGGCCTTAAAGCAGCATCAGCTGCTCCTCTGCCCCAGCACAGCAATGGAACAATAATTTGCCTTGAGCTGCAGAGAATCCCTGGCAGTCTGGGGGGCCTGGCAGGGCCTCCTTTCCTTCTAAAGATGGAGGAAGCTTTGGGGTAGCACATTCCATTGTGCAGGGGCCTCAGCTTTTCTGAGCACTGCAGAGCACAGGCACAGGCCCTTAGGTAGCACTGCAGGTGACATTTCAGCCCCTGCTCCTCCCTTGTGGGTGCAAAGCTGCCCCTTCCCTGCTGCCCTGGAGCTGCAGCCCCTGCTCAGGTCTCCAGCAGCACGTGCTGATCTCTGCCCACAGCGGGCTCAGGCAGGGTGGGCGACACCCCCAACGTCTTGGCAAGACAGGCCCTGAGGAGCTCCTGGGCTGCAGCTTTGCCCTTGGCAGCAATTCCAGCCTCCTCCCTACCCCAACAAGTCTATCCTGGAACAGGTTTTTTTAGTCTCTAGGGGGTGGTGGGTTCATTTGGGTTTTTTCTTTCACTTTTAAAGTGTGAACCAGAAAGTGGTTCACTTGGTGATGGCTGGACAGACAGACTGAATTTGAGACTCAAAATTCAAGGTCTCTGATGATGGTGCCTGGGGATGGGAAGGGGTGGTGGCAGCAGTAGAACTGGAAGGGTGGGAGTACCCTGGTCCCCTTGGAGATGAGGGAGCTCCTCGAGTTCATTTCCTGTCCCCACTTGAAGCAGGACAAGCTGCAGCATGGCCGGGGGGGCAGAGCTCCAGGCTGGGGGTGGCACAGGGCTTTGCACTGCTCAGTCTGGGCACAAACCCACCCTGCAGCACCTGCAGGCAGTTACAGGAGAGGGCAGACAGGCCATGTCCAAATAAATCCATGGCCCACAACCCATTTGTGATGCTTTGTCTTCCTTTTCAGAGGAACAAGCCCAGGAACTCAGAGAGTATCATTCTCTTCTCGTTGTGGGAGTCTTCTCAGTTGGGCAACTTTTCTGTCCTGTGTTTCTCATGTGTGCCCTCATTTTGAGCACAGAACAAATCCAGAACTTGTTTCAGAAAGATGATTTTCCATTGGTCTCTGTGTGGTTTTAGGCTCTTGCCTGTAACCTTAGTTCTGTACTAAGAAGAAAATTCTGTTAGTTCTCAAAGTACAAACTGACCAATCAATGCATGTCCCAATCAGGACAGGCAGTGTGATGGCATTTGTGGAAAATGGGTGCAGCCCTTCCATGTAGTCAGACACGGAAGTTTTGAAGCAACTCGCTGTGAGATGACTTTCACAAAGAGAACATCAGTGCAGAAAATGTGCACCTAAACTGCCATATCATTGCCCTGAGCTAACCCAGCACCAATGTCTTCCATTGCCTCTGACCTGTAGTTTTTGTGGTTTTTTTAAAGCATGGAGGAGACACGCAGTGCCGATAGAAGAAGGTAACTAAGTTTGGTCTTTCATGGTGCTGAATCATGTTCCCTGCTTTGATCGCCCTTCCTGGCACTTCCCCTCCTGCAAGTGATGCTGCTGGGAGCAGGCATGCTTCTGCTGACCCTCCCTTGAATTTGGTGCATGTCCTAGCTTCAGGCAAATCTGGAGAATCCTTGTCCTCAGGGAGCTGTGTGCAATTCTTCATCCTGGAGGTCTGCTGATGATCCTCTTCCCTCTCTCCTCACTCTGTTCTCTCTGCTTCATGTTCTCTTCCTTGCACTCGTGTTGTTACCTTGTGCACCTTCCCATGCCACAATCTGCCAGCTCTCACTCACACCCTGCCTCTTCCTTAGGAAGCCCCAGCAAAGATCTGTCCTGGGGCGAGCTCTGCCCTGATGTGCTGATTCCATCTCTCCTGCAGAGAACGTGGTTCTGGATCCAGACACAGCCCACTGTGAGCTTGTCGTGTCTGACAGTGGCAAAAGTGTGAAACACAGTGACACACCACAGGACAGCCCTTACAACCCCAAGAGATTTAACCTGCGGACCTGCGTTCTGGGCCATGACGGCTTCTCCTCAGGGAGACACTACTGGGAGGTGGAGGTGGCTTATGCAGGAGAATGGGTCGTCGGGATTTTTGGAGAAAATGTGGAAAGGAAGGGTGATATTGAGTTTAAACCAGAGAAAGGCATCTGGGCAGTGGGGAAACGGGCAGTATTTTTGAAAGCTTTCACCTCCCCTCGTCATACTCTGTTTCCTGAAATCAAGGCTCCCAGGCGGATCCGGGTCTCTCTGGATTATGAAGGGGGACGGGTCTCATTTTTCAGTGTTGATGAGGGCATTCACATCTACACATTTTCACAGGCATCATTTGGGGGCAAAAAAGTCTACCCTTGGTTCTGGGTGGGTCCTGAGACATGTCTGAAAATATGGCCCTGATGAAGAGGAGGCAGTAAGAGAAGGATTTCCAAGGGCAGAGATCTCGTTACCTCTCTGGACCTCTCTTCCATGCTGCATCTCTCTAAGATCTTTCTCTGAGGCCAGACAGGCTGTTCTGGTTCCAGTGCAGATCAGTGGGAGAGGCCATGGCCAAGATGATACCATCCCACATCATTTCCAGGTGTGTGGAAAAGGGACTTTCTCTCTTGCTTCTGAGGGCAAGGGTTCCTTAAGCATGGAGGTTGGAACCATTGTTCCATTGTCTCAGGCTCTGTGAGCATTTGGCATGTAAATCACCCTCTCTTTGTACACTCTTCTTATCAGTATTGTTGCTGTTTCTGTTCCTTATGATATCATTGCTGTTTCCAGTGAATTGTTCTTTTCTCAACCCACGATCTTTGCCTTTTGTGCTTTCAACCAGAGGTTGAGCAGCATCTGCTTTGGGAGAGTCTGGGTAGGAGCTCTTAACTGGGGAGTACCATTCCTAAAACATGACACATGCTTTCACACCAGATCCCCCATTCAATTGAGATCCAGCAGGCATGGACCTTCCAAAGGAAGGCTTCACCCAAACAGAACTGGTAAGGAGGGAAACTTCAGTACAGGTGGTGGGTTTATTGCCTGAAATCAGCTCTTTAAAGAAACCTCTAAGACCAAATTTGTGAATTTTAGAAGCCAAGAATTCTTTTATTCCAGCACACTGGAATGACTTCAGCATGTCGGGTGCCCTGGGAATCAGTTCCCAAAGTGCACACCGAGGTATCCTCACTACAGCTGACATGGCAGCATTACAGGATTATTCATTTTTTCTCCCCCACATTCCTGTTACATTTTCATGACATTTCTGAACACTTATTAACTGGTTTCTTTAATTCAAAGCACCCTAATTTTCTATGGTACCTTCTTGTCATGGTTTTGCTGGTTCTTGGGAACTGGGCAGGAATTTTTCCCTTCCCCCTGCCTATGGTGTGCAGGGCTGTTAGGTTGGCACTTAGGGAGCACAAATGAAGCGGCTTTCTGGTTAATGGCTCAGAATCTCATCTCCTGGGAAATGGGGGGTGAGGAGCTCCTTTTTATTTTTCTTTTTCTTTTTCTTCCTGAGAAATGGCGGGAGGAGTTGGGGCTTGCTGTGAAGGCTGGAACAAGGTCAGAGTGAGAGCTCGGTGGGGTTTTGTTCTCAGCCTGGTTGCCAGCTGTGGATCTTGCTCAGATTTTTTCATCAAAGAGAAAGTGTTTGGGAGTTCTTTTTTTTTTTTTTTTTTTTTCCTTTTCCCCTTCCCTGTTCCCATTTGTTTCTTCCTTAGCACTGGTTCTTGTGCACATCAAAGGGAGAAGGAAAACTATATCGCACGATTCGACCAGCCAAACAGAGTGAGATTTTTCCCACTTTGTTGTTGTTGTTGTTTCTCCCCTCTCTCTCTCTCCCCTTTTCCCAGTGTGTGTGGGGGAAGGGGAACCCATTTTTTCTTTGGTTCCTCCAACGCACCCCGGAGGGTGTTACCCCTGGTGTCAACGACCAGTGATCCCACAGCGCCCCCTGCTGGACGGCAAAGAGAACGGCAGGCTCTGCATCTCCAGTGACCCAACAGCGCCCCCTGGTGACTGTGGTTAGAATTGTACCAAAGGGCTCAAACTGAACTATTTACTTTTTTTCCCTTTCTGCGTTTCTTGGTTTGGTTTGAAGGGGATTATTTGTGGGTACAGGAGTATTGTTTGGTTGTTTTACTTGTTTTCTTTCAATGTTTCTGCCAATACACATATATCTTTCAATAAAGGACTGTTATTTTTCCTCTTTCCACAATTTTTTTCCCCTCAGTCAGAACCTCTCAATTTTGGATTTACAATTGCTTAGAGGGAGGAGTTTGGGTCTTCCTCATAACTCCTCCTTGCAAAACCTGTGTCTCACTTTTTAAACTGAGTCACTTCTGCTGCAAAAACTATTAGTTCTTGTTACATCTCTAAACCCCAATATCACGTTGCAACAAGTGCCCAGACCCTCCTCCTGCAGAAAAGGTGTGCACAGGTTGATGACCTGTTCTGTCAGGAGCAGGGAATAGTTAAAGGCTGTGCAGTATTAGAGGAGCTGAGGGGGATGTAGGGAGGTGGATTTAGAACCATGTTCCTGGGACCGTCACCACTGAGAACAAGGCGCCTCAGATCTGGTGACCCACAAAAGCAGAACTCTGCTTCAGTCTCCACCCTTCAGCATCACCACCAAACCCAGAATCAACACCCGAACAGCTGCAGACACCCATGAGCAAGGTCTACCAGCAGAAACTGCAGCAGCACAACACAGCAGACACCATAAAAGAAACAATGAGTGCTTGTAGTGAGGGGCTCTGTGAAGGGACACTGAGACACTCATCTGCCAGCCCTGCAGGGAGTCACCAGAGCTATCCCCCCTTCTGGCAGCTCAGGTCTGAGATGTTGCTGAGCGGGTGCCACAAGCTGTCAAGAGCACAGACTGCTCTCCACTGCTGCTTTTCCATGTGGCACAAATGACACACAAGCCAGAACCTGGGCAGATTCAAGGGAGATTACAAAGCCCTGGTGGTGCAAGTGAACAATATCGATGTCCAAGTTATCTTTTCCTCCATTTTAACTGTTTGAAGAAAGGGGCCAGCCAGAAATAGATGTAAAAAGCAAATCAACCTCTGGCTTTGTGGCTGGTGCTGTCAGGAGGGTTTGGATTTTTATGACAACCGGACACTCTTGGATGACTACAATCTGTTAGGGAGGCATGGGATCCACTGCCTAGAAGAAGCCAGGGAACCTTTGGCAGCAGGATCACCAACTTGGAGAGTTGGGCTTTAAATGGAAGGACTTGGGGGCTCAGGATCCAAAGGGACCTTGCTTCCTCTTTTGCATCCAGCTGGGAATAACCCAGGACACCCAGAGCAGTGACAAATGTTCCCTACAGGTCTCCCAAGATGAGAACAGAAGGCCAAGCCCCTCAGGGATGTGTATGGCTGTGTGGCATCCTCTTGCACCCCTCCTGGGAAACCTGCCTGCTCCATTAGCCCTGAACTGCCTGCAGAACAACACACAGAGCTTGGGGAATGAGCTTGGGGGAGGATTAGAGATCTGTGTGCAGTCACAGGGCCACGGTCTCATT